TCCCTGGCTCGTGTCTCCGCCACCAACCTCGCATTCAACTCGGCCACCTCGGACCGCAACGATGATAGGGCGGCCGCGTGCAGCTGCAACACAACCGCCAGGGAAAATCCCTCCATTAACGATTTCGTTCGATCGTTTTTCGATCCGGCAAGGGGAGGAAATTTCGAGGGTGTTTGAAAATCCTTGCGACGACCAAGTATCGCCGATTCTATCGGATTTCGTGACGCAATTCTCGCGTTCCATTAACGTGTTGATGATAAGACGTCGTTTAAAATCTTTTAATCTCTTACCTCGATCAACCTTACCTTGTCCGTTTGATAAATTTCTAGTCGCAACGATACATTATGCACGAGTTATAGTCAAGGAAAGAGTAATTTGCCGATTCTATGTTTCTATGCTCGAGGTCGTCTATAAACGCGTTTATCGTATTTATCATATTGGGTCGAACAAACACGAGTAATATCCTTCGTATAATCTAAATAATATTGAATCTCGAATCGAAACATCGCTTTTACGAAAGAGAGAGAAATCTATTTGAACTTGAAGTTCGCTATCGAAGAAGCGGCTATTTGCGACGAACACGCGATTTCCGCAAATAGACGGTTCCAGACACGATCGTTCTCCTTATTATCGTTGCCCCTCATTAATTTCACCGTATTCGCGATATTCCGAGCGTGAGCGCGGGAAACAGAGAAAAAGGAAGTGAAAAAATGCGTTAAGGAGCTCGCGGATACCTGTTTACGCGGCATCGTTCCTCGTCGAGTGCCCCCTTCGCGTAGGCAACCGTGCATGACGAACGTTACAAGACGACGAGCTGTTAATGATTCTGGCCATGTGATAGCGCACACCGATCGTGAAAAGAGAGAAAAATTCCGGAGGACGCATATAAGAATCACGACCCGTAATTACGAAGTACCCATTCTAGATCCTTTTATTTAGAGTGAGCGAGAAAGAGAGAGGGAGAGGATCAGCGCGCGTACCTCACGCGTTTTTCTCGACGACAGGTAAACTAGTTTGTCATCTGGCTCCTCCGCGAGACATCAGATCTTTCTTGCCTATCTATCTCCTCCTCTTTCGCTCTCTTTTTTCCTCTCTCTTCCATTAGCCGCGTGGCACGCTCAACGAGTATCTACATTTTACTCGAAAAATTAAGAAAATAGTATGGAATAGTTTCGCCGATAGAGCCTGTTTAACCGCGATTATTTAACTCGAGGCATTCAGTGTCGAGGAACTTTCGATTGTCTATTTTCCAACGAACGGAGTATTGATGCAAAAAAGAAAAAAGTTTGAGAATAACAAGAAGAAGGCTTCGATTGATCTTATTTATTCTGGCAATTATATATTTTGCACGGTGTCGATGGACGAGGTCGATGAAGAGTATTTTGCAGTAATGGTATCGCGATGGAATCCTTCCTTGTAGAAAGGATTTGATAGCCACGTGAACTCTGAATGTCCAAATACCGTAAGAGATACAAGTGGAATTCGACCAAGCAACTCTCCTTCTCGTTCATTCAGCTCGTGCCTTAATGAACATTGGCGCGGTGAACGTGACTGTAAAGCTGCCTTTGCAAATAAAGCAATTTCACGCTCTATTTTTCTTGCTCGTAATCGTCGTTTATTATCAATTATGTCATCGATCGTACGTTTTCGAGCGAGAAGAAAACTCGTTGTAAACGTTATCTGGGTTCGACCTGAAAAGAAAAGTCGACTCGAGTCGAGTCGATTGCACAACTCGACAAAACGAGAACCTGGCCAGGTAAATTCTTCGCAATGACTCACAAGGAGATTACCAAAGAGGACAAGTCGCATAGGCTTCTCTCTCTTCTCCCTTTCTCTCTCTCTCTCTCTCTGTCTTGGCCACGTGTTGTTTCAAGCACGAGCCGATTCCATCGAATTTCTCTCTCTCCCGCGAGACGGTGGTAGTAGTCCAGGGACGTAAAATGATACCGGAAATTGCGGTAAAGTGGTATAAAGCCGGCGACAAGGGTGACCGAGGAGGGCATCGACTTTCTCGACAGTCGAATACCCGATATCCTGTCCTCGATAGATAGAGCTCGGATCGAGCTCGTCTTTGATACACGAAATTACTTGGAAACTGGTGGAAGGGAGAAGGAGGATAAATCCATTCGCGACGAGGGTCGTGGCTGTGTTGCAGAGAGACTTTTGCTAAAGGGAAAGTTTGCCTTCTCGACGAAACTTCAGAAACTTCTCGAACCGGTCAACGAATGATTACGAACAATGCAAGAATAATCACAATACGTGGTTAAATATATCGAAAGAGAGAGAGAGAGAGAGAGAGATACTCGAAACTCGTACAAAAGTCGCGTTAAATACCGCGATTGTGTATCGCATAAGGCGAAGAATATCTCTGACGTTTAAAACGTATGCAAACGAGACGTGAATAATCCGTTTGTTATTCGATAAAAATCGTGACTCATCCTACGCGATCGAGAGGATCCTCGCCTTTTCCTTCGAGAAAAAAATCCTCGAGATTTTAATCGAAACATTTACCTTCAAAAAAATCTGTTCTTGTACTTCCAAAACCGAAATTCTTCAGGAAAAAGGAGATCCGCCGTATTTTTTCTTTATATATATCCCACAAAATTTCAAGTTACAACGAGTTTTTACCCGATTAAATAGAAAAAGAAATTAGAAGAATTCGAGAATACTCGGAAGAAGAATGAAAGGATGTTAAAATCCTCGCCTAGAACCGGATAATCGAAACTCTTTCCCTCGGAATGGCGAATCGAGAAAGGAAGAAAGAGACGGAATCGATGGAACGGAAATCATATATATATAAAGGTGAGAGAGTTTTTTTAAAAAACGTTTCCTGGCGCTAAGTCGTTAATGTTCTACCGTCTGCTTGTCCGAGCCCTGTCACAGAGCAACTCTGTATTACTTTTCCTGCAGAAACGCCTCGTCCGTCGCTTCGAATTTTTTACGAAATCATCGTTCGACGGATACCAAAGGCAACTGTCCGCCTCGCTCGTACGTGGATCGAACAGGTCTTGGTCAAAAAAGCGGACAGTTGTTGCCTCTTTCCACTCGTGAAAGACCAGTTTTCTTTTCTCTTCTTTTTTCTTTTTTTCTTCGAGGGAAAAACTCGACACAGACGATAGAGACTCGAGAGCCATTCCTATTGGTCGTGGAGAGGCGCGGTGGCGAATAATTGAATTTTCGTGCGTACTCACGAAACCTTGCCTCGTTGTAAAATACTATCACGTTCCGTGGAGGAAAATTGCGATAACATTATCAACCAAGTAACGGAGAACTTTGCGTGGAAACAAGGTTTGTCTTCGGTGAACTTCTGTAACGAGATCACCGAGAATCGATACATATATATATATATAGTCGGAATAAGGAGATTTTTCCGATGAAAATGGCCCCTCCCGAGGGAGGGGTAATCCGTTAAAGGGGTCAAGTAGGTGTTCCCTTTCGAGATCGTAAATTCCTTGACCAAGCCTCCGTCACCCTTTCACTTCTCTTTGTCCGCCCGTCAAAAGGGACGAGTCAGCCTTGCTCGTTTCGATCCCTGGCTGGGGCCAGACGCTTGAACGAAGAGGAAGCGGGCGCGAGGGGGTGAGAGCGCCGCACCACGTTTCAAACGGTCCTTTTGTGGCCGCTTGGACAAAAGAGGTAACCCAGAGACACGTCTATTCCGCCACGATGCGAGAGAATGTTGCCTGCGAAATGCCTGCGTCTCCCTATCCTCTCTTAAACGCGCGAAAAGAAGATTCATTCCTTTCAACCCGAAGTGTTTTCGTCTCGCTGATGATGAACCAACCTGCTCGCCGCCAATCACATTTTCCCACAATCAGATTTACACGAGGGGAGTATCATCCCCTTCCTTCCCGATTTACACTCCTTCCCCTAACGGATCGAGAAGAAAAGAAAATCGGTTTACGCTACGAACGATCGATCTATATTTCATCCATCGAACGCGTTGAACGAGGGAGAGGAAGAAGCGGAGAGAAGAGAGAGAGAAAGAGAGAGAAATCGGCAATGACAGTCGGCGGAGTGCGGGATCGACGGTGATTCGACGGTGAAAATATGGAATCGGGACGGGTAGGTAGGGGGAGAAGATAGGGTGGAAGTGTCAAAGCGGTGGCAAACGAAATTACGAAGGCCGAAAGTTTATTTGAAATTCGGCTGCGCGAAATCGATCGTCCGGTTGGTTACCTCCGCCCTGTTCCGTCCGCCGTTCTATTCCTGCTGGATTAAAGTTTAAAGGGTGGTACTCGATTCTGCATAAGCTTACGGAGAGACAGACGGGGCCGACAAAGACAAGGGCAGACGAACGGATTGCGTTGAGACAGAGGGAGGACAGTGAGATGGAAAGTTGAAACCGGGAAAAACGGAAGAAGAAGAAGAAGAAGAAGAAGCATCGGGGGAGATGGATAGAGAGAGAGAGAGAAGACAATCTAAACGCGTGACGCGTGGAGAAGGAGCGAAGACGAGAGGGATAAAAAATGAACGAGCCGTTTCGAGTCGAATATGAAGAGAGAGAGAGAAAGAGAAAG